AGTTAGAGCCGATGGAGGAGGTCTCGTGGTGGACTCGAACCCACGACCTTCGGGCTCAAAGACTAATGCTCTACCAACTGAGCCACTGTCGCCCAAACAAACAGATACTGGGCTGAGCAGGTGCATATTAGGGATCTAAGACCAATCCAGCACAAGAATTTAACCGATAGAAAGAGACAAGAAACGATGTGTCACAAATTTGCCCCATTTTGTGTATCGATCCATGCTGTCATGTGCGGGTGCAGTCGCATCGCAACTGCTTAACTCGAACCACCAGTGCGAATCAGTGAATCTCTCCATCCCTAATACACACACACAAACACGTGCACACAACACACACACATACACATTGTCACACATGCACATTGACTAAATAACTGTTAGTCACATGACTATTATGAACCTGTCGCCAGTAATAAATCAAAGAATCATAATTCAGAATCAAAAAAGTATCTATGACAAGACAAAACCAATTCCATTTCAGTCAAGAGAACAAGGCCTCACTGGCACATCTGCATGATACAAGACCTGTGACCTCTCCTACTTTTAAAACCCTTCTAAAATCAATTTTAACAAGAGGGAGCATGAGACCCCGGCTTTATGAGACTTGAGGCCGGTGTCAGCCTGTCCCGCATCTGGCCCCCACCTCGATCTCGTTTGGGCGTTTAACAGGGACAACATTGATTGAGAGAGGTGGCGCTGGGGCCGATTGGATTTCAGGCCGCACAATTGGATTTGATGGCGGCCTATAATGGCTTTCACAGGCTCTTTTCTCAGCGCTGAATGGGCCCGGCATCGGACAGAAGGGTGATTCAGATCCACAAACATCCTGTTCTGTCGCTGTCCCAGCTGGGTGCGCGAGGCTGGGATGTCCTGACCTTGTGCAGAAGTGTACAAATTAAATTAAGAAACGCAAAAAGATCTATTTACAGTGAAAATGTCTGGATGAAACTTAATTGAATGTTTGTTATTATTACGGATTTTTTTTACTATAGTTTCACTGTAAATTGTGTGTATGTATATATATTTTAATTTATTTTTTATAAAAAATAAATACATAAGGTTTACTCAATTATTGGTTTGTATAACTGTTAATATAACTTAAAATACGGATATACAAGGGGACTCGGCTCAAACCAGAACCCAGCTCCTTGTAAAAATGAAATGTAGCCATTTTGGGGTATTTTCTCCATTTAATCAATCAAACAGAGCTATGGGAATTAAGGGTCAAACTACTACTATTTAATTAATAAAATTATAAAACAAAATATACTGTACATAGTAAAACATTGAATTGAATCTTCAATAAAAATCTAATCACCGAATCATTGTTGAAAATGAGTGAAGACCTATTTGGAAGAAATAAAGTGTGATATTGATGAAAAAAAAGTCATTACATTTTTTTTCCTGATATTTTTCAAATTATAACACAGCTGCAGGAGTCTCCATCCTTTAACTCTGTGGTCACGCCCTAGAAATCTGCTAGGAGAACTAATTTGAACTTCTCATAAGTGTCAGCTTGTCCTTTTACTCCTTCCCCAACGCACAGGAGCATAGGTAAAGGTGGGGACCTGGACTGAGCCGGCTCCCTCTTGTACTTTATGAACATTCAATTGTGATGAATTTTATAACAATAAAAACAATATGGAACATGTGAAATCAATGTTGTCTCCAAAACCAAAACATACAATGATTGCTAAAACCAGACTAGACTATAGTTAAATTTAAATGTACACTTTATTGTCCCTGTTTTTTTTAAATTTGTCCTCTGCATTTTAACCTCATGATGCCACTAGCAGGTGGCTGAATGGATAGCACTCTTGCTTCTCAGCAAGAAGGTCCTGGGTTCGAATCCCAGTGGGAACAGTGCCTTTCTGAGTGGAGTTTGCATGTTTACCCCTTGTCTGTGTAGATTTCCTTCGAGTACTCCGGTTTCCCCTACCACTAAAAACATGTACAATAGATCTGGCATGCTACTCCTGTACTGGCAACCCCACTCCCATCTCTGTGTGGAGTGACAGACAATTGTAAACCTCTTTGTGACTCTGCGTTGTGAAAGGCAGTATATAATTAAAGATTACTTACTTACTTCACTGAATTACTAAGGCGCAGTACAGCGCCAGTGAACCCACCTCCAGATGTTGATGCTCGGCTTGGTCAGCACTACCAGAGCTGGAGGATTTTACATATTGAGCATATTTTTAGAGACCAGCTTGTCTGAAGTGCAAAGACGTATTAAAACTGTTTTTGTATAGCCCTAATCTATAGGAGCAGTAGTCTCAGAGGAAATTGTTAAAGCTGCACTAACTGACTTTGGGATTTTGAAGCCGCGGACTCGCTGGCCTCTCTCTTTCTGCTCCCCTCCCCGCACCCACGAAGCTATCGCCCCCCACACACACCCACTGTTGGGACGAAGCTAGCGTCTCCCAATATGGATAATACATGGATATGGATTTTCACGTGGATGGCGTGACCATAGAACGATAGAACTGGGAAGCGCGGAGGAACGGGACTTTCTTTTGGATGGCTGTCTCGCTGTGTAAGCAGTAACCGGTGATGAAGAGACGAAGCTTCAGGTTAGCTCCTCGGCTTGTTGTGCTAACTCAGCCATCTATGCTAACGGAGACCTGTAGATTTCTCACGAAAGTGGGGGCCAGTGGTCCGCGGTGATTGGTCACAATCCGCGACCCGAAACACATTCTCTTCCTTGTTTCATCAAAACTCGATCTAAAATATAATGTCACGCCAGCACAAATCTGCGCTACTTTTTCGTCAAAAGGACGTATATCCCAATGCCCTACACGGACATGGATAGCATTTTCGTAATGAATACAAAAATAAAGTCAGTTAGTGCAGCTTTAAGTTACCAACAACAGATCCGAGGAAAAGTAATATTAACAAAACCATAGGAGCCTTAATAATGTCCTCATATGTCCTTGATAATCACTGTTCTTAAACCCTCCTGCATCGGCAAAAAACAAAAATAAACCTATCCACTCCTACAAACGAACAGGCTACAGGACTCAGGCTATTAGTCATTGTATCAGCTGTAACGATAAACAACAATGACCATGTGTCCATTTTCGCTCTAAGACCAAAATATACAACAATGGCTAAAACCAGATGTGCAAAGACTTAATATCATATCTCCGTCACAATCGTTTGTTTTTTCAGCAGTGTTTGGAACTGTGTGTGACGTGCCGGGCACACCCATCCGTGCCGAGTCAGGAGGGGCATAGAGCTCTCTGCTGGAATAGACTTTTGGCCGGGGCACAAAAGCCTGTGTCTGTGGGAAGTGAACCTCACAACCCTGATAAGACTCTTTCAGAGCCGCACCTTCGCCGTAATCACTGGCTCTAATTCCGCTCCCCTTCTGCTCCATTTTGATGCCATTCATCTGTGAATTGTTCATTTGGAGGTGAATAGAAAAATGGGCCGCTGTGTACTTGGCCTTTTACACAATGAAATGGCTTTGGTTGAATGGTTGGTACACAGTGTTTTCCACAAACGCAGAGTTGTGTGAAAGTGGCTGATGCACAGTTGTGGATGAAACAACATAGGGGTTGATTGTGCATTCATTCAGAGATGCTTTTGTGTCTGACAAAGCAGGCTATGGACTTCTAAACCTTTCTGTTAGGACTTAGATATTTCTGCTGACCCATGATGTGAGAGGTGCAGAATTTATTATTTTGATCGCTTTTAACAAATTGTTTCTCTGTTCTGTGTATGCTTTTTGTCCACTTATTTCTATAGCCGTAAATCAGACCATCAGTTGTCTCGGAGAACATAAGAAAGTTGTTGATTCACCAACAATAGATCAGATAAACAGACATTCAAACACAAGAACTAATAATTAATGACTAACAGATAGGAGCCATTGGTGGGATGACCAATGTCCATGAATGTTAATAAATATCCATAAATGTCTTGAAATATCCCAGATCTTACTATGCTTGGACCTTGCTTCATCAGCAAGAAGCAAAGGAAAAATACAACAGTGGGAAAAAAGTGAGAAACCTGAGGAGGCCCAGATTGATAGAGGGTTTTTTGATCCCGCAAAAGGACATGCTCTAGAGCCTCAAGGAGGCATACCATAGAAGTACACTGTGTAAATTATGGCTTGTACAATTTTGAAGCATGGAATTTGTTCGATTACACAATACACAGACAGTAGAGTGAGTGAAAAAAGGAGCTAGAAAAAGGAAGAGATGTTTCAAATCTTGGTATTTCCTCTCATTGTTGAATCTTGTTTGTGATGTGTGACATCAGTTGTGTACCACAGCATCATTGGGTGTTTTGGCCTTTTATCACGAGACACCCTACATAGGGGCAGGCCCACCACAGGCTGATCAAACGTAACTGAGTGGTTACTTTACTCCCCAGCCAGTCTCCTTTCTTCTAAGCTACAGCCGGGGACGGCTTTCTGCTGCTGTAGCCAGTTTCTTTATTAGTTTCCTCTAGGCCTTCTTGCCTACTTGAAACACGTTGAAAAAGGTTTAATATTAATAAAACTTAATATTTTTTAGAATATTGCCCCAACATAGGGCAATAACTTAATCTATTATGGACAGAAATGTCATGTCATCATATCATGCCATTGTCTTCCCCCTGATGACTACCTCATTACTGGGTCTCAGGGTGGCAATCAGAGCTGCTAGTCTGATAGCACCAGTCCCTCGCTGATCCTCCTGCAGGGGGTATGTCCACGGTAAGATGACTACTATTTTGGACAGAAATGTGAAGGAAAAACTTTTAAGGATAAAATAATACACAATATGGAGCATGCAAATTTCTTTTATGTGGAGCGAGTGACAAAGGCCTATAACTGTCATTTGGCTGTGCTTGCACAACGATGGAGAAAAGAGCTGTTCTTATCTTTCCAATCACGGCTCAAACCTATGTAGCTATGTTGGTAAAGGCTAAATTATGTGGATGGCAGCTTTGCACATACTGTATAGAACCAGGTCACAATCACAAATCTGAAACTGGTGCAGATACGTATGGAGCTCACTGCAGCTGCCACGTTACATTTCCAGGCTTGTGAGTATTGGTCATCAGGACTTGTGTAGCTGATGTGTGTTTGTTAGCTAGTTAAAGTGAGCTTGGTCATCATCATCTCAGGATCTGAATGATTTTAATTTCTTCAAAGCAAATGTTTAACTTTACATCAATTGTGAATGGTACTTAACTTGCCCCAAAGATCAAATAATAAATGAGGCTCTGAATACTTAATTCATTGATACAAGCAAATCAAAGGGACATCTCCAGCTTCACACTCGGCTTCGAAAGCCTTCTCTCAATCATGATGATCTAGGCCACTCCATCAGCTGCTTCTCCCCTTGTTGTTACAGGCCCCCCACCGGTGGACCCCGGCTCAGACTCGGTACCATCAGTCCAGAACACGCTCCCTCACTTCCTGCAAGAGCCGGAAGACGCCTACATTGTGAAAAGCAACCCCATCAAGCTGCGCTGCCGGGCCGCCCCTGCTCTGCAGATCTTCTTCAAGTGCAACGGGGAGTGGGTGCACCAGAACGAGCACTTTTCCCACGAGTACAAGGATCTCAGCACCGGTAAGACCTACTGCTGGTATCATCTCTGGACAGGATGTGTATGTAGCTGTTGTGTTTTGTGGTGAGAGTGAGTGTGTGTGTCGTGTGTTGTACATGATGACCATCTCATAGAGGAGTGGAGACTCTTCTAGACTCTACTCCGCTCCACTCTCCCTGGTTAGGTTCCTATAAAGCTGCGTTCCCACCGGATCATGCGTTGCAGAAAATGTCAGCGCAAAGTCATTTTGAAGTATGCCCATGCGAGGAATTGCATGTACATTGTGGCATGCACTTTTGTCCCGCGCAGTAGAAGAGTTGACGTGGCAGCTAGATGCATGCAGCAAAAGTAGGAGGTGATATTCACTGAACATCCTCGCTCCACACACTTGCAGCAACCAATCAGAAAGCAGTAAAGTGGTCACAAGGAAATAAGTCGAGCAAAACAAGAAGACGTAGACACTTGAAAACTCATGCAACTGAAATTTAGGCATCCATGCCTCCATCAACAGACGCCCATGCTTCGGGAACACAGTTTTACACTTTATCTTGTAGAGAAGAGTTGAGTAGGGCCAAGGTTGGCTGGTGAAAACAGGACAAAAGACTTCCTCCAAAAATCCATTAGTTGTATTTTCCTAGAAATGGTTGCACCTCCAACTACATGTTTAATGAAACTTTGAGATTTCCCATGGACTAGTCACACAGCTCCTTCATGAAATGCATTATTTAACCATTTTCTAGGTTGGATTTGAGGTTGATATTATTGTAGTAGTAATTGCACACATTCAAAAAGACTCATTTTTAACATTAAACAGCAAATCTGTGTGCTACTTGAATTGATTTTCAAAACTTGTAAGCGTAAATAGTAAGAGGGTGATCTGGGCTCTTATGGCACAGTATATATTGTTTTAAAGTTTGTTCTGGGAAGAAAACCACCACACAAATAATTGTGGTCGAGACATTGAACCAACAACACAATTCATAATAATAACAGTCTGTCTATCAATAATATAATATAAAATAAACACTGATTTACCAAAAGCTTACTTCTGGTCCATCTTTGGTTCAGTCAAGCATCAACTAGTTTTGTTCAAAGAAATGTAAAACCCGTCTAAAAAAAAAAAGAGATTGACGCAAACTTTCCCCATACTTGCCATAACAGTATGCCTAAACACCAGAATGAGTTTGACTCCTGGGTGCATTAACTACTTTTCTCTACTTTTCTCTCCAAAAAAAAAAGTTGATCGTGTTGAAAAGAACTGAAATTCCGAATACGTGAGAAGATACTTTCCACTATAGATGTATGGCATACCTTTTTCATAGAAAAAAATTACACCAACAGCTAAAACTGATTCAAAAATGAAACTCTGCAGCCTTTATGAAAATAGAAAAGTCATTAGTGTATTACTTGGAAAATCAAATAACACATTTTTTTCAGTTAGGTGTTATTGGAGAATTTCCAAAGGCACGTCAAACATGTCAAGGCAGGTTGAAAAACACTAGTAACAAAGCCTACAATGGGCCATTTTTTTCAATACTTTAATTATTTCTGTTTTAAAGCTGCTGTAACTCCACATACATACATCCTCCATCTTCCACAACCCCTGCCCCCCAAAAATAGGACATACATACACATTTTGTTTTCAGATGCCATTGCAGTTTATTTCACACATTGTAATTAATATAAACCTCAGCCCTAACTGCAGATTGTAATGTATCACAATCAACCTTTTGTTTTTGTTTTTATATATAAAAGTGAACTGCCATAAACTGCAGATTGTAATAAGTGTAACAGTATTCAAGCACCTTAACAGTGTAAATTACACCTTAACTGTATAAATTATACTGCTAAGGTGCCTGAATTTAGCTTTTTTATACTTTAAAATGCCCCTGTGCAAAAATTGGTTTTAAAACATGCTGCAGATCTTGTCAAATCTGGGTTGCAATTTCTATACGTTTAGAGTTTGTCCATTTTGCTCTTGTTCAATTGGTCCCACACAGCTGGCAGAGTCTACTTGTGCCGCAGAAGAAAAACATTAAATATAATCTCGTAAAGCCAAAATGCTGCTTTAAAACTGTCGTCTTTTTGCCTGTAACAACCTTTTGATTGATGCCCCTAACGCCGGCCGTCAAATTCACCGCATATTTCATGTTAATTGCGTTCATCGCGTGAGTAGAAAAGGTGCAGTGTAGAGAGTGAGAAATGGGAACAGATTGAAGACGCAGACAGGGCAGATGGCCGGACTTTCAGTGGTCTGGCTGAGGTTAAGGATCTACTCAAGTTAGAAAACTCACAAAACTGTAAAAGTGAAGTCAAATATACAAGTACAAGCCTATGAAGGCGCCCTCTGCATGATGAGAGCTGAGAAGGAGGACCAATAGGGACGTCTTTTGAAAAAGCTTGTGTCATCGTGAAGATCAGAGAGTTCTGTATCGTAGTAGCTTGTACCTATATGTAAATGCATAATTATGTATATTGGAAATGAAAAAATCTTCAATGAAACGCCTCCACCTATAGGTTAAAATGGGATATTACATTCTGAAGGGTGTATATGGCCTATACCTATGTTTCAAAGTTCCAGGTTAAGGGAAACATGAGCACTTGAGAAAACCTACTCTCCCACTTTTCTATTGTGATGCAGCATTAATCTAAAATCCCTAATATTAACTCATTGACTGCCAGCCATTTTTGACGATTTAACTGATTTTCAAGACCCACAAAATATTATATGCTAAGACTATGTGAAATAATAAACCAGATTCTGAAAGACTGGATTGTCTAATTTCATCAGAAAAAAATTATTTTGTTTCTAGCTAGTTTTGTTCTCCTGTAAACCCCAGTCAAATAGAGAGAAGTTTGACAGAAATCACCAGTCCCAGACAAATACGTCAATGGCAGTCAATGAGTTAATGTCTGACCAACTGTGTGTCACCTCTGATCTCTGGGCTCATGCTGATATGCCAGTCTGCTCTCAGGGCCTCCACAAGAGCCTCAGTCAGTGGGGACTGTGTGCTCCCAAAGCCCAGAACATCTTTTGGACCATCCAGCTTCTCCTTTAGGGGGGTTAAACTGTGGAACTCTCTCCCCACCAGACTAAAACTAACGTGACCATCTTCAACAGAAAAACTGTGGTTAAGATCCAAACAGACTTGTTCTTACGTGTAAATCATACCGTAATTATTTTAGATGTATTTTATCTGCACTGTTAAAAGCCCCTGTGGACTAGTGTTGAAAATTAGCACCTGTGCTTTAACACTTACAGCAATGCATCTGGTTCATCCAATTTTATTGCTACATCCATATTAAATAAATAAATACATAAGAATACTTAGCTCAAGAGTTGTGATTTGACAAGTAAGTTTCAAGTGTTGACAAAGCCAAAACAAACTCCAAGTCTATTTTGATGAGCACGATTAAAATGAGAAAAAAGACTGTTTCGAATAATTTTGTCCTTTGAAGAAAAGACCACATTTCCTTCATTTTTGTCCACCTCCAAGTTCACATTTTATGCTGCGGTTGACATTTAACTTGACATTTAGTCGGAAAGTCAAAATCTGGTCCACTACATTCAAAGGGCTCCTGTAGTTAGGAATCAGCAGATGAATATTTTATTCAAGCTAATATTCTGAGTAAATAGTGTTATGACTCTAGCTTTAGTGGTCTTAATCTAGATATTAAAGATTCATATGTACATTATTATGTACTCTTTTACTAAACATTCTAAGAGAATAAGGAAATATGGTCGGAATATAAATGCGGTATCACAACAACATGTTCAATCTAATCCTCTGTTTGAATGCGGTGTGTTTAATATTTCTAAAGTGCTTTATTGAGGAAAAGTAACCAAAAATACTACATCACAGTGGTCAAATTCAATGAGCAAGGACCAAGGGCATGGTCAAAGTAGACAGTGGTAAACAAGGTGTGAGTGCTTCTGACAAACAATATGAGCACTCAGCAGTTACATGTAACATTTATAATATGAGAAACTCTATCAAAGGAACATTTTGTACATTTCAAAGCAGTGGTGGTGTAGCCGCTGGGTGGAGCAGGACAGGTCACAGGATAATTTTCTCTCTTCTGCAATGCTTTATAAGCAATACAAAAAATCTAAATAAATAGCATTCCTCCAGTGGATCAGTGTATAACCAAGGACACTCTGGAGCAGGAACGTTTACAGCTATAAAAAAGTAAGAAAAATAACGATTGGAAAAGCACAAAACATGAACTGTTTCAGAGCTACTTAGGACTTGCTGCTTTTTCCAGTGCCTTCTAAATTGGCATTTTAAAACTGAAACTAAATCAAACTTTGCTCTGAACCATTTCAAGACTATTAATTGCCTTATTAGGTTTGTTATGCTGTTTTGATAAGTAGTGTTTTTTGTGTGTGTCTTTATTCAAAAGTGTATTGATCTGTTTTATCTTATGAGCTGGCAGCCAGTTGGTGTGTGCTCCAAAAACGTTTTCTTATTGCTCTTATCTGCGTTTAAATAAACTATTAATATGCACACCCGTGTGTGCTAATTGGTCGAGGAGGTTCATCAAGGCCTGATTGCTGTGCAGTGAAATTGTTGTAAGTACACTGACGGAGAATTCAAATCTGGTAGTCTGGTTGTTGTGGTGTGAGTACGAGTGGAGCTACAAGAAGTGAGTTCACCAGGCATTCCACAAAGCAGTGGAACGATCATTGTGTAATATATTTATTACATACAATATATTTATTGTTTATTGATATACCGTTGTTTACAACACGTTTGTTGCTGAGGTCTGCCACGCTGAGTGTCTGCATTTGCTATGGTCAAAGTTAACAAAGGTATCAAAGGTGAGTGTGCATCGCCAGTGCGGATGGTGATGCACACTCACAAATGCTATCATGGTATTTCAGTTTCATACTGTCCCGCAAAATGTTGTTATTATTACCACAAATGTCCAGCCTGAGTATTTATACACAGCTTTTCTCAATATGCCATTCTTGGATTGCTTTCATATTAAACGTCTCAAAAACCATTTCAGAATCAATTTT